TTGGAGCCTGAATTACTTCATGTATATAAAAAGTAAAAATGTGTTGATTCTATTAAACCAGAGAACTAAAGGACTATTAAGGTTACATTTTGAAATTAACTCTTCCAGGAATGAGGACTATACTTCTCACCTTTGCTGCTCTCATTTTCGGTTGTGTGGGTTAATCAGTTTCATTTACCAGTGATTGATGCAGATCCTTTCACAAAATAAAAATAAACATTTCATATGAATTAAAAGTATAAGTAGTATTTATTCTAAGTTAATGGATCTTGATTTTGTTTTCGATTTACACTTAAAAACCACTTTTAAAAGACTTATACATATTGTGTGCATAAATTTCTTGTAATTTTGTCCTTCTCCCAGTGGCCCAGTTTGGGACAGTTTTAGAATGTCAGAAAGGGTGAAATGTGCTTTCCTATTGGCTTCCTTAGTTAGAAAGTTGAGTAGTTTCCTTTTTAAGAGCTATTGAGAGGAAAGTTTTGGCTGCTGTTCACCTCACCTCACCTCCTGTTACCGTGGAATCTCACTCCATAAATTTCCAATCATTCCAACACCTCCAGATTTTCTTTCTTCCATCGACTGTAACAACCTGAAAGTTGGCATGGTTTCTCCACATGATGGCGTGTGTGGAAATAATTACTTGCTGTGTTCCCCTGTTTGCTAAGCTCTCCCATTCACATTAGGATGTCACTTTGAAACAGTGAAACAGTAAATGAGTCACTTTTTAGTTTTTAAAACAGTGTGTATAGTATCTGAATACCATCTGGGTTTTTCTAGAATCCTGAGAATTATTCTATTAATTCTGCTTTTTTATCTTTGGAGCTGAAGCTTGGTTTAGGTTTCAGTGACCTACCAGGGTTTGAAAATGGCCACCACAGAAAAAACTGAATTGGAGTCACTCAATCAGATTAAAAATTAGACTAGCACCTTATTATGTATCTTTGATCGTTGGAAATAATTGAGACTAGTTTAATGCTAAGCAAAGATGACAGCTTATGGAAGAAGTAGATAGAACAGACTTTAGGATTATTTTTGAGACATCAGATTCCTTTTTAAAAGACCCAAAATTTGGTGTCTTGTAGTAAGCAGAAAGGAGCTTTTTATAGATTGGCAATTAACATAACTAAACCAACTTGATTATTCTAGTGAAGATTATTTTATTATCCAGACCTATTTTTTCTCCCTTTTCTTTCTGTACTTTATAAATGCAATTATTTGTTATATATAAATGTAAAGCATTATTTATATATAGCAGTACTGTCCAGTTAAACTATAGTGTTAGCCACATGTATAATTTAAAATTTTCTGCTGTCCTTATTACAAAAAGTAAGAAGAAAGAGGAAAAATTACCTTTAGAAATTTTTATTTAAACAAATGTCTAAAATATTTTAACATATAATCAATATGAAAGTTACTAATATTATTTTGACTTTTTTGATACTAAAATTAGAATCTTACAGTATATGTCAATCTGGACTAGCCATATTTCATTTATTTAGTAGCCTCATGTGAAAAATGGGTACTGTATTAGATAACAGCACATATGTAGGTTATTTCATTTGTCCGTGACTATGTCACAGAAGGGTAAGTAACTGTAAGGGTATTTAAATCAACTCATTATGTAACATTTTAGAAGTTTTGGAGAGTATTCAAATCAAACCAGTTGGTAAAAATGAGTTATTATCTGTTGATTTCTTTTGTATCTGTCACTTTTCTACCCTAGATGTGATTGGTATTTTAATGCATAAAATACCAATTTTAAAAATAGTTTAGTCAGCCTAAAATGACTGACTTCTGAGGATCCTGCTAATATTTGCTTCTGTTTGAAATGTCATGATAATTTGAATCCACATCTACAATACTTTCATATTTTGTGGCTGATGTGGTAAATTAGTTTCTTATGGTATTGGGCAAGCCAGAAGTTAAGCCTGTTAACTTCAGCAGCCAGAATACTGTACTCTAGTTGCTATAAACAATTAGGCCTGTCAGCAATTGACCTTGGAAATGCTAATTTGCTTGTCCCTGGGTGCTGCCTCAGGCACTGGCTTTCTCTCTGTGGGTGGGAGTTATGAACCTAGTTTGGAGGAGAACTTGAGGCATTTGGGGCAAGCTCCAAACAGATGTGCTTCTTGCTTCATTTTTGCATGTGACCAAGTCGCAAGAGGCGCATTCCTTGCATGAATTTCTTTGGAGGCCTTGTAGAATCAGACATGTATGCCCAGACTACAGTTGAGGGGAAGCTTTATTACCTTTGAATTTACCCTTCCCTCTTCATTCTACTGCACATCTGCCATAAAGAAGGTTGATTAAAAAATGCTACACAGTGATTTTCATCACTATTTCTTTGTATTTCTTAAACTTATTGAAAAAGGACTTGGAAGGCATCTTTTATTAACTCTTTTGATTTTGTGTTTATTATTACTATTATAGTAGAGCCAGGAGAAAGTAGTCTGAATAAGTGAGGAGAAAGAGATGTTAGTTGGAAAAGCTGTAGATACATGGTGAGAGGTTATAGGTGGTGTGCTCAGTAGATGAAGGAGGGAAAGAGAGAATATTTATAAAAGTCAGAGTTACTGTCTTTTTAAACTGGTGGTGGCAGCAGTGGCAGTTTTTATTCCAAGACAAAGATTTGTGCTTCCTCTTCTTTTGGGCAGGTAATTTTGTCCCTTTATTGTACAATACTGATCCAAACATTTATTTGAGGTTGGTTGATTGTCACTGTCCTTCGGTAATTGTTAGCATTTTATGTTGATCAGTCACCAATTATTATTGGCTCATGTCCTCAACAGGCTAATAATTTCATTAGCAGATAAGGCAAATAGGTATACTTGCAAAGAGCAGGAGAACTACATGGTAGTAAGTGATGTATGCCAAATGAGGAGACTGTGAGTCTGTATGTCTCAATCAAGAATCTGTGAATGAGTTTTGACATGTTATGACCTAGCAACCCGATTCCATCTCCCATAGGCATACATCTTTTGTAGACTCTACTTAATAGGCAACTTAATAGTAGCCAACTCATGATGCTTTTTGTGTACCTGACATGTTATAAATGCCTTATGTGTATTTATTCATTTAATCCTTACAAAAATACTGTCAGGTAGGTATCATTACCATTATATATATGAGTAAACTGAGCCTTGAGGTTGACCAAGGACTAGATACTGTGTCTCTGAAGGAGTGGTTTTTGTTTTTTAACCACAATAATGGATTTCAGATTGGAAATATACATTTGAATTATTTACTTCTTGTATATTCTCACCCATCATCCTTTGTAACCCTAACCCCTTCCCAATTGCAGTAAGCTCTGAAATAAGTTCTCTTACTTACTCATTATCGACCTAGGCCTGTGCTCGGTGTAGATAGCTCTTTTGCAGAGCTCTGACACCATTATGCCTGAAGATGAGTTCTTCATTAAAACCATTTATAGAATCCATTCTATGCTAACTCTAATGATTGACTTAGAAAGTTCTCCAGCTGAGCAAAAAAAAAAAAAAAAAAAAAAAAAAAAAAAAGCTGCCCATTATCTGAAATGTACTATGCTAGAAATACAAAGATATGAAGATACTTCAACAAATCTGTAGATCCTCACTAGGACTAGGACTATAAGTCTTGATTACCATGAATTGACTTCTTAGATCATCCTTGTTTGATTGTTTCTCTAGCCATAACCAAAGCATCTGGCATTTGCTTCCTGAAAAATGATAGTTATTACCTTCTACAACTATTTTAAACCCTTGAGCATAACTTACAGAAGGTACCTGATGTCACTGGCTACATCCCCTTATACTCTATATACTCCAGTCATGGAGCCTGGGTGTAAGTGCCGTCAACATATACTCTTTCAGCCTGTTGCCTCTGCTCACATGACTTCCTCTCCCTAGAATGCCCTTTCTCTGTTGAGTGCTTTGGGGGCACCAATTCATCTTTCAAGGATAAGCTTAAGTATCATCTTTTTTCTGCAGACATTCCTCTCCCACCCAAACCAGATTGATCTCTTCTTGGGTTCCTCTGTGTTTGTTGTACATTCATCCATCTAAACAATAGAGCACTTCTTTGCACTGAGTCATATTTCAACTATATACTATATACTATCTATATTTCAACCTTATACCTTAGCATAAGGTATTCTCACCACTAGATACAGCGGTTTGAAAAGACCAGTTAATAATATCCTGTTTCCCAGCCAAGTTGGGGCCTTGTGTTCCAGTCTCTGTTGCACTACTCAACTCTGCCATTTTCACTCAAAAGCAGCCATAAACAATATATAAACAAATGGTTGTGATTTGACCAGTAGTGGGCTGCACTTTACTTGTCCCTGGTCTAGAGAAGAGTCATTCTTTGATAGTTTTGTCTCATGTCTTTAAAAGCTAAGAATGGGTTAAAATTTATAAAATCAAAATATAAAGTGATACCTCAAAAGGGATTATAGGGAAGATAGCAGAAATGGTTCTTGCAAATATTTTTTTTTTTTCTGGCCAACTCATTAAATGACTGGTAGGAAATAATTTTTACAAAGACTACAGTATAAGCCTTGACAACTTCTATATCATGGGTTACTGCGAAATCTTACCTATAAAGTTGTCCTGGGCTCAGGTGTGTTTATAATAAAGTTTATGTTTTAGTTTCCTCCTTTCCAAAAGCCCTTTACATTTTCCAAAGTTAGTTCCACAATATTTACTAAGCATCTACTCTCTGAAATTTAAAAATATGGAGATATCACTAAACAAATTTATAGATCTTATTGCAGTTATTTTTCTCTCTTAACAATCCTATGAAAATGAAGGAGACACTTGACAGATGAAAGAGCTAAAGCTCGAAGGGTTAAGTGACTTATCTGAAGTCACAAAGTTTGAGATGCTACTTACATCCAGAATATCTTCTGCAATGCTAACCCACGTGCACATGTGCACACACACACACAGAAGTGTGCATCTTGAGTACATCATGTCCTGTGCCAGTCCTATTTGCCTTTATATGTAGAGCCATTAAGTTTGGAACATTAAGTAAAGAATCCCTCATTATAGGATGCAATTTTGCTGTAATGAAATTCATTTCAGCAGATAATTTAGTGTTTAATCACCTTAAATTCTTCTTAATAGTATTTCACCTTGTTTTTTTAAAAAATTCCTCTCAGTCACTCCCTCTAAATTCCATTAGCTTTTTTATTCTTTTATTTTGTGACTTTTAAAAAATAACAACTTTATTGAGGTATGATTCACCCATTTTAAATGTACAATTTTGTGGTTTTTAGAATATTCAGATATACATAACCATCACCACAGCCAATTTTAGAACATTTTCATCACTTCAAAAAAAAAACCCTGTATCCTTTAGCTGTTGTCTTCCTATTTTCCCATTCTCACTATTCCTAAGGAATAGCCACTATTCTACTTTCTGTCTCTATAGAGTTGCCTATTCCCAGCATCTCATATAAATGGAGTAATGTAATATGTGGTCTTTTGTTACTGGCTGTTTTCTTAGCATAAGGTTTTCAAAGTTCATCCATGTTGCTGTATCAGTCAGTAAGTACTTTATTCCCTTTTATAGCTGAATAATATTTCACTATACTTCTGTTAAATTTATTCATAAACATTTTATTCTTTTTGATGCTATTATAAATGGAATTGTTTTCCTAATTTCACTTTTAGATTGTTTTTTGCAAGTGTATAAAAATGCAATTGATTTTTGTATATTGATATGCTTGCATGAAACTTTGAAACTTTGCTGAACTCATTTATTTGTTCTCTTATTTTAATTTTCTAAAGTGGATTCCTCAGGATTTCTTTCTCTCTCTCTCTCTGTCTCTCTCTCTGTCTCTCTCTTGTCTCACACTGTTGCCCAGGCTGAAGTTCAGTGGGGTGATCAACAGCTCACTGCAACCTCAACCTTCTAGGCTCAAGCAATCCTCCCACCTCAGTCTCCTGAGTAGCTGGGACTACAGGCTTGCACCACCACACCTGGCTAATTTTTGTATTTTGTAGAGACAGGTCTTGCTATGTTGGATAGGCTGGTCATGAACTCCTGGGCTCAAGCGATCCTCCCACCTTGGCCTCCCAAAGTACTGGGATTATAGGTGTGAGCCACTGCACCCAGCCTCCTCAGAATTTTGTTGTTGTTGTTCTTGTTGTTGTTTTTTGAGACAGAGTCTTACTCTGTTGCCCAGCCTGGGGTGCAGTGTTATGATCTCAGCTCACTGCAGCCTCCACCTCCCGGGTTCAAACAATTCTGCCTCAGCCTTCTGAGTAGCTGGTACTATAGGTGCCCGCCATCATGCCTGACTAATTTTTATATTTTTAGTAGAGATGGGGTTTCACTATGTTGGTCAGGCTGATCTGGAACTCCTGACCTCAAGTGAACCACCCGCCGCAGCCTCCCAAAATGCTGGGACTACAGGCATGAGCCCAGCTAGGATTTTCTGCATACAAGATCATGTCATCTGTGAATGGAGGTAGTTTTATTTTTTTCCTTTCCAATCTGGATGCCCTTTATTTCTTCTTCTTGCCTAATTATCCTGGATAGAACCTACAGTACAATGTTGAGTGAAAGTGTCAAGAGCATACATCCTTGTTACCGATCTTAGGGCAGCAGCATCTTTCATTATTAAGTGTAATGTTAGCTGGAGAGCTCCCTTCCTCCTGCAGTGGCCTTCTAATGCTCTTTATTGAGAAAGCTTCACATCATGCTGACTGTAAGAGAAAATGCTTCAAGCAGTTCCATCTATTATCACAGAGCGGGTATTGAAGGGTGAATTTTGAGCTGAGAGGCAATTAATTGATAACTGGCACAGAACATGAATAAGCAAGTGGAATAAAACTGTGAAGGCGCTATGATAGAAACTTATTTGCAGGAAACAGTGAAGGCACCGTGGAGTTAGTGGTCACCTCTAGCAGAGGACCTTTAATAGAAATTCTGTACTGGAAATGAGTACATTAATGATAAGTAGGCATTCCCTAGGGAGTGGGAGAGGGTGTTTCTGAGGGTAGCAAAGATGAGAAGAGCTGTGAGCAGCTTGGTGTCAAGATCTGTGAAAGCTAACAGGTTAGTCTGCCACAGTGTGCAGGATGCTAGCAGAAGGTAAGAGCTTATGAGTCAGAGACAAAGGTCTTTATCACCTGTTGCACATCAAACAGTGTGAGTATCATAGTTCACCTTGTTGTCCCCTGTCCAAAGTCCTGCATTGGTGAGGAAGGGCCCAGGGTGATGCTGCGGAGGGTTTGTGTCACAGCTGAGGAACATGGGGCCTCAGGGACCCAGATTTTTGTAATGGGCAGTAAACTTGCCTGACATTTGCCATGGAGGGAGACATCATCTTATTATACTGCCCTCTGATGTAGAAGGAGGCACAATCTCAATCTTCCAGGGTTTTGTTCATTATACAAACATCCTTGAAAACTATAAAAGAACAGTTAGTCATCTGGGCATGGTGGCTCACACCTGTAATTCCAACACTTTGGGAGGCCATGGCGGGTAGATCACTTGAGGTCGGGAGTTCGAGACCAGCTTGGCCAACATGGTGAAAACTCCATCTCTTGTGAAAATACAAAAATTAACTGGACATGGTGGTGGGTGCCTACTCAGGAGGCTGAGGCAGGAGAATCACTTCAACCTGGAGGCGGAGCTGAGCGGAGATTGCACCACTGCACTCCAGCCTGGGTGATGAGACTCTGTTTCAAAAAAAAAAAAGGTGGGGGGGGGACCGTTATTATCTTTGCTCACAAGATGTAAGGAGATGTGTGAAACCATGAAGAATAGTGTCCCAGCACCTGGCAGATTCAGGGAACTGCATGTTAACTTCAGCTTGGGCCTTTCCAAGAATTTTACCGCCACATATTATAGCTTCAGCATTTACTACCTCAAGAAGATGTAGTACCTTTCTTGATGCACAAAAGTCCTATTTGCTGTTGGGTTCCTTCTTTGACTTTTTGGCAAAGAGGGCATCATAGTACTTCTGTTGGCTAGGCAGAATAACCTCGAGCTTTCAGAAACAATTTTGGAATCAGGTCACTAGGTTCAAACTCAGCTCTGGCAATTATTAGCATTGTGTAAGTTTTGGTTCTCTCATTTGCAAAATGGGGATAATATTGTAAAATAGCAGTTAACATCTAGTAAGTATTTAACTTTGTACCCACACACATCTCCCTTATTCTCACCTTATTTAGGGTTGATGTGAGAATTAAATACTGTATATAAAATGCTTTTCACTTGGCACACAGCATTGTCATTTTATCAGTCAGTTATTTTGTTTTGCTTATAATTATTTGGGTCTTTTGCAGGTGAGAGAGGTGGATGCTTTGGAGCTTTTGGCTCAGAATTGATAGTGTACATAATATAGGCAACCATGAGTTAAAATGCAAGTTCTGCTATCTACTAGCTCTGTGAGTTTGAACCAATTACTTCACTTCTTTAGTGTTCTTTTCCATGCATGAAAAACATGGACATTATCTCCTTTTCGTGGTTCCTGGTTTGATGAAACAGTTGCATGCTTTGCTGTCCAAGATTTACTTCTCACCTTGGTTGGTCAGCCTGTAAATGCTTGCTTTGGTTATAAAGGGAATTAGTGGAAAAATAATTTAAAGTGTATGTCTTACTGTTAGGATGGAGAGTGGCACTGAGATTGTGTGCTGAGGTCGGGGTAGTCCATGATAGTGAGGACCATGTGTGTTTCTGTGTGGGGGGAGATTGTCTTCTTAATAGGAATAAATGACGTTTATATATGGTTTACGAAGGAGCAGTATGTTCTAGTTTTAGAAAAATTAGTATGGGATATCATATCAAGCAAAAAAAGATGAGTGCTCCTGTGGGATAGACTAAAATAGATGTTTAAACCAGTTGACAAAGAAAGATTATGTAATGTGTTACATAGAAGATGCAGTTTTTGTTAGTTCTCTCTCTCTTCTCCTGGAATGGAGCCTTCCAGAGTTCTTGGGTCATTCTGGAGTTTGTTGAGCATTACGCTATATCTGCCTTATCTTTGTTTTCTCAGTGGTAAGCTTATAAGGAGTTTGGAGTCTTGGCTGAAACTTAATAATACAGGTTGAGTGTTCCTTATTTGAAATGTTTGGGACCAGAAGTGTTTCAGATTTCAGATTTTGGAATATTTGCATATATATATAATGAGATATCTTGGGGATGGGACCCAAGTCTAAACATGAAATTCACTTATGTTTCATACACACATAGCCTGAAGGTAATTTTATACAACATTTTAAGTATTTTGTGCATGAAACAGAGGTTTGTGTTAAGTACTTATGTGTGGAATTTTCCACTTGTGGTGTCATGTCAGTGCTCAAAAAAGCTTTGGATTTTGGAGCATTGCAGATTTTGGATTTTTGGATTGGGGATGCTCACCTTTATTAGAAATACAACATTGACTAAAATAGGCATGGCCATTGTGCTCTGAGCAGAAGCTGGAGAGACTAGGAGAGGGCCAGACTAGTGGTAGTAGGCTCTTGTAAGTCAACTTAAGAAGCTCAGACTTTAGGGCAATGGGAAGGTATTAAAGAGTTTCAAGACAGGAATTGGATAATTTTATTTTGCATTGTTCTCTGGCCATAATGTGGGAAATGGCTTCCTAGTAATGTGCCTGGAGGTGGGCCTAACAGTTGGGAGGTTGTTGTAGTAGTTGCCATGTATGAGGTAATAGTGACTTGGACTAGCAAGGTGGTAAGGGATTGATGAGAAGTAGATTAATTTATAAAAAACAGAGGAGGAGTAATTGATGAAACTTGATGATTTATTGAATATGGAAATTGAGGAAAAGGAAGAAGTCAATGGTGATACTCGAATTTCTGACATAAACATCTGTGTTAGTGGAGACCCTATTTTCTAAGGTGGTGTGTTGCTTTGCTATTGCCACTGGAACAAAGTACTGCAAACTTATTGGCTTTAACCAGCACAAATCTCAAGCCTGAAGTGAATCTTACTGGGCTAAAAGCAAAGTGTGGCAGGGCTATGTGCCTTTCTGGAGGCTCCAGGGGAAAATCATTATCTTGCTTTTTCCAGCTTCTAGAGGCAATGCACATTCCTTGCCTTGTAGCCGTCTTCCATCTTCAAACTTGGCAGTGGCCCATTAAGTCTTTCTCATCCTGCATCACTATGACATTGACTAACCTGCTTTTCTCTTTCATTAATAACGGGCCTTATGATTACATTAGGTCCACCCAGATAAGCCTGGATTCTCTCCCCACTGCAAAGTCAGCTGATTAACAATCTTATTTCCATCTATAATCTTAATCCCCCCTTTCCATGTAACATAACATAATTGTGGCACTGGGGGATTATTAGAGGGACATTAATCTCCTCACAGCAAATGAGACCACGTTTTAGAGAGGAAATGAATTTAACTTTAGAGATGTATCCAAGTGGGGATGACAAATAAACAGTTGGTTTTTGAGCTTGGGATGAAGATAGGGGTTTGACAAAAGCCTATACGTGAGACTCGAAGCCATAGAATGAATGTTTATTTCTTAGACGGGGAGGGAATATGTGAAATGACAAGAGAGCCTGGGCCAGTGTCCTTTGG